AGCCGCTGTTAGTGCCTGCGTTCTATGTTTTCCGCTTTGAGACATGGTTGAAAGCATTTCTTTGCCTTATCTCCAAACTTGTGGTGATGCCAGCATAAAGTAATTTAATCTCGGTTACTACAGGCGCACTGGTGACTTTGCCAATGCTTTCAGCTATAGCGGCTAAATCCTCAACGCTCATTGATTGATGTTCTTTCAAGATCTGTTGAATGAAGGTTGGCAATCTTTGAAGCCAAAGCGTTTTTAGAAATCCTTGGTCAATTGTTGTGCCGGCTAACGACTTTAAATGTCTTAGGAATTGCGATGGCTTTTGTTCTCCCAATCTCTTCGTGTTGTAGAAGTCGTCTATTTTTTTTGTGGTCTTCCGAAAGCGATAGCCGTCTAATTACTTCTATTTTTAACATTGTGTATGGGTCGACCGGCGGTGGATTGATTATGATGACTTCCACTTCTCTAGCTAATCGTTTGTTCAGGAATGATAATACGTGTTCATATTTGTTTTCTTCACTTTTTATCCGGTTCCTATTAAAATAGGCTTTGATCATAGCAAACCATAATTGCGGTTAGTCGTAACAAAATTGCGGAATTTGTCTCGCTATACCTAGTGTTACTGCTGCTTCACTTACACTGGCTGTGCCTGGCACGGTTTTTTTATCTACTTGATTTTTCATTGTAAATTAACTTAATGATGCAAAATGAAAACAACACTTCTAACACAAAAAATAAAAATCACTCCTAAAACTTTTTACGAATAAAGAGGTCTGTACACGAAACTTAAAAAAAATACTCATAGTATTTGTAGCCGTTTATCAGATTACGTCATATCAGAAAGCTGCGCGTTCAAAGCACGTCTGGAACCAATGAAGCATTAGATTAAAACTGTTTGATATGGTTTACTATTGTTTATTATATAAACAATAGTAAAATGGTAAAATATAGATGTAATGTTTAAATTGTATTTGTGTATCCCTGTTGGTTGCCGATGGTAGAAAAGACTTTTTTATGTTGGGTTGTCCTCTTTTATACCGGGCGGCCGTCTTTATGTATGCGCATCACTACTACAATCCTGCTCATCATGTTTTGCAGCTCGGTTTGGTTTTTTTTTATATTACCACAAGATCATCGGCGTACTTTATGGCAGTGATTTCTTTTCCTCCAATCAAAAAGTCTCATGTACGTTGACGAGCCATTCTCCGTACAGGTTGAATTAGATCGGTGACATGCCGCATCCTTGCCGCACTCCTCTAACTATTTTAACTTTTACTTTCTGTCCCATACACATATTCTGAATCAGCCTGCAATCCCTCCAAGAGATGCTACTAGATTTTAGAATTTCCATAAGTACAATAATACACAAGTTGACTCTGTCAAAAGCTTTCTGCCAATCTATAAAACAGAAGCATGTGTTTTCGTTAACGTCGAGACATCTGTCTCTGGTGACTGTTCCTTATCTGAAACCAAACTGGTTTTTGTTCATGTGCTGCTCGATCTTATTTTCGAGTCGTCTCGTAAAGATTTTGGCTAGTTGAGGTTCTCCAGTTTTCCTGCCCTGATCATTGTCCTGATAATTCACGTTGCTAACCTGAAACGCAAATCGGCCACACTTTTTGTTAGCCTTCATATCCTCGAGCCGGAGACCCGAATGAGATTGAAATCATTTTATTGTAGAATGCTTTCACACCTATTCTGGGAAGAATGTAATATGGTAGTATTCCCCCTTTTCTTTCCACATCCACATCGGGTCGCGCTTCGTATTTCTTTATCTACAGTCATTTTGAGCATCATTTGTTCTGTGCCACCAGTCAATACTGGTGTCGCAGCTGCCCTACACCAGCCAACTCGGTTAGCCGATTTTGCTATTTTTAGCTATTCGTTGCTCACGCTTCACGACGAGAGTGTCATGTCGGGTTCAGCGAGTTATATATGTATATTGTATGTCAACTTTGCATGCTTTAAGTTTTCACGTTATAGCATTTTTGCCCTTATGCTAGTCAGAATCTCTTGGCAATTTCGCACATACTTTTTAAAATTTCTTAGACAAACACTTATATAAATTTCAACCCTATAGGACAAAGTTTATTTTCACTACTCAATTTTTGGCTGGTCTAGCAGGTACTAAAAATCTTTAGTACAATATTTTATAGCCTCACAGGAACACCGTTTTTCAAAAGGTTTACTAGCTCTTGGTTCATAAGTTTACTTATGTAGATCAAACCAATGTACTCGATATTTTTGACAGTATGAGTCAAACTTCTTGAATAAATTTCAAATTTTTTAACTTTTAAAAAATATCAACCTTTTCGCAAAAAATACAAAGTATTCAAAAAAACCAAATGACCAAAGAATTTTTTTTTAGAAATATCAAAAAAATCTAAAACTTCAAAGATTTTAAGGGGGGAAGTCCATATAACATTTTCAAAAAATTGAAAAAATTTTTTTTTGATAATCTGCAAGTATAGTATGTTGAGCGTATATTAACGAGTCGACAAAAAAATCTCTTATATTAACAAAGTTATAGCTAACATAACGGGGTGGGCCGAAGTGCGCATTGTCAAGCGATCAAGCGTATTGTTAAATTTCGAGTGAAAAAGGTCTCTTTCATTATAATAACTAGAAATACTTCTTTTGACCTACAACCGGAAGACTTCTATGTACCTTAGTACATGTGTAATATTGGTATACGAACAAAGGTTAGTCGAGAAATATAGTTAGTTTAGCTGGAAAATTCGTAGTGTTCAGTCCATTTCAATTCGTAAAAATGCCGAAATATCTAAAAGGTAAGCGAAGTAATATTGCACAAAATAACACTAAAAAGACGTTATCAGGGCAATCAGTTTACCGATAAAGCAGGTGAAACAATTGACGCCAGTACAAGTCATAATGAAAGTGCCAGTGGTCAAGATCTTCTAGACGTAGATTTAGCTCCATTACTTGGTAAAGAAATGAAACAGCATCTTTCACCAATTTATGAAGATTTGTCCAAAGATGATTTACTTAAACGATGCCTTGACGATCATACGCAGAACGCGAATGAAAGTTTCAACGCGACAGTTTTGCGACTATCACCAAAACACCCACATTGTGGACTAAGGGTAGTTGAAATTTCACCATATATTGCAGCTAGGATATTTATTGAAGGTTTTAGTTCAATATTAAAAATAATGAACCTTCTGAATTTGACTGTTGGTACTTATGCTAAAGCATATGCTGATAATACTGATGAGGCGCGATTAACTTGACAGGATCGTAGCAGCTTTCACAAATAAAAGATGCTGGTACAGCTCACAAACAACAACAACTTACAGAAAATCAGCTTTTTGAAGATAAGGAAGAACTATTGTGTGGACCTGATATTGCAGATTAATCGGTAAGTAACTAAAACTGGTCATTTTCCTTTACTAAATCTTTAAGCGCGATTATCTCAAAACTGTGTTTTCAAAAACTGCTCGTGTTGTAGCTCAAAAAGTTATGTATCGATTTGTCTGAAATTTGGTGGGGCCTTTTTCTATATTATTATCGGAAGGATAAACCTAAATCTTTAGATCTTTCGCGTTCATAAAGTATTTTCTGGAGCCCAAAATGTCAAAAAAATAGCCAAAAATTCAGATTTTTTTTGCAAAGGCTTGTTTTTTATTGAATTTTATACTTTTTTTCAATTTTAAAGGTTTATCCTTCCCATTGATATGTTCTCAAAAGAAAACATTAAAAAAATTTTTTTTCAGATCGACGGTTGATGAGTGAGAAATGCACAGTTTTGGACCTCGCACCGGTGGCAGTCCACAAAAAGTTATGCTGAACCGCCATTTTGAAATAATTTTTTTTTTAAATATTTTTTTGTATTCTAAAAGGGTTAAGTAAAGTTATGTCAAAGTTTAAAAACAATAAAATTATTCCATCACGTTTAAAAATATTTTTAAAATATGACCTATTTTCATGCGTCTATATGGACTTCCCCCCTTAAGCTACAGTGGGTGAAGTACCAGCAAGTTGCTTTAAAGCACGATACCATGCACATTAATTTAATTCCTATTTACACTATTATTTATAAAATTTGTAATTTGCATTTTTTATAATAATAAACTTCTGCTTTTTTTAAAAAAGGTACCTACAATAAATATTAATAACACAAAAATTCAGGTCACATATGTGAAATTTTATTTATGATTTAGTTTAAGCAAAGTTCCAGAATTAAAATTTAATTAACTTCCCGCAGGATAGTTATAGTAATGGGCCGAAAATCGAAAATGAAAGTTATTGCATATCTTCACGTTTTGAAGGTTTCTAAACATATTGGCACACCTCAGAAAAAATGTATGCGTGTGTGTGTGTTTTGTATATCCGTATTTTTTCGACCACGTTTTGGGGCGCACAGATCAACCGATTTGAATGGTTCAAAGAACATTCGATTCCTATTGATAGGGAGATGTGCTGATTAGTTTTTGGCGAAGGCAGATTTAGCTGTTACAAAGATACGGAGCAAAGAGTGCCAAAAATACAAATCGAGTTTTTGAGAAAACGGAGTTTCCGATTTGAATGATCTAAAATACATTCAGTTTGCAATAATTGGGAGATGATGTGATAAGTTTTTGGCTAAGACATGTCTAGCCATTTCGAAGATACAAGGCTAAATCTGCAAAAAATGGCAGTTTTTGAGAGAACAAAGCGTCCGATTTGAATAATTCAAAGAACGTTCTGCTAGTTTTAACAAAATAATTGTTTTAGGAAAAAATTTTTGGTTTCAATTTTTTTTGGTATATAGAAAATGACTCAGATTTTAATTTTGGCTAGAGTTCTAATATACTTTGAACAAATAATCTTAACTTTGCAATTCAGTTTATATAATTCTTATAAAAATTCGACAATGTTAAGTATTTATAATAATCTATTTTGAAAACATTTAATATTCCTAGAACATTTCGTTACGGTACGGGAAGTTCCAGCAATTTGCTTTAAGGCACGGTGCCATACACCACTAGTTAATTTTAAAATCTTGATATAAATTATAACTTACTCATAACTCTGCACAAATCGGCATCTTTATCATTATTTTCTGCACTATATATGATATGTTTTTTTTCACGATCACTGTTCTCCCGTTTCACTGAATCATGTGCTGGCTCGATTATAAACGATTGTCCATCCGTTTTGATTAATCCTGCCTAAAAGCAATGCAAGCACATACAATGTACAATAAACATAAATCTTTTATTAAACCAAAAATATATGAAAATGTATGCTCTCGATCAAATGATCCAGTAAATCTCGATCAAATGATCCAGTGAATCTCAAAAAGGGCTGAACCGATTTGGCCAATCTTAGTCTTGAAAAATTCGTGCCGTTCCAGAGATTGTCAGAAAGGTGACATGATATTTCAAAATCGCGTAAAAACTTTACATTTTTAACTTGAAATTTTTTGTATAAGCGTAATTTAAATAAAACAATGGACGGTGGCTAATACGTCAAACGTCAAACGTTTTTGACAGATGATGTTCAATTACGTTTAATAGGATGTTTTACGTGAATATTATTTAATTATGAATTATAGTAAATAGTTTTGTTTATAGCTTTATCTATACACAACAACGTTATTAAACGGGCCGCAAGTGTTTCTAGAAACTAAAAATATCAACTTTTTTGAAATGTTAATATGAAAATAAATTTTTTGGCGTTGTAGCACTCTTTTTGCAAATCATATTTTTCTCAAATACGGTTCTCTGAAAGATCTCATTTGTATAATTCTATTCTTATTGGTATTTATAAAACATTTTCTAGGTTATATTATTTTTTATTTATGTTATTTAAATGCAGAACCTAAATTTGAAATCGATCAAATCAACATTTTGTCAAATAACATTTTCCCAGTTATAATTTCCTAGAATTTATCGAAAAATAGATAGTAATTTGTGAAGGTCCGGGGTTAAACAGGTTCACCACTGATGTGTCAGAAACCAGCAAAGTTAAGCATTGTTTAATAACAATATTTGAAAATAGAGGGAGTAAGATGTATAGCCAGCTATAACCTTGATGCATATGACTTTGCTATCGGAAGATAAATGGTAATCTTTGAAAATTCATAATAAAAGTATTTTTTTCGGTTAGTAGTTTTTTAGCATTAGCTAAAAATGTAATTATTTTGTAAAATACTTTTAAAATTAAAATAAGACATTAAACCTTTGTGCCTCGCCCTGCTCTACATATATACCTTTTATTAAATTTACTTTAATTCATCGAATGTTACTTGAAACTTTTCAAAAAGCAAATCAAAGAAGAACTATTTAATTCATTTTCTATCTCTCCTCGCAGAAATTTGAAAATTTTGTATAAGATAGTAGTATTATTTACAATAATATACAAAATCCAGAATCCAAAAAGAATCTGAAAACTTGAAACGTAATCAATAAGTCGAAAGACCAAAAAAGACTTGGATTGGATTATACCATGTTTTCTATAGAAAGTGTATAAAACTTCCAGTTTAATTGTATTGACAAAATATAGACAAACTAATGTAGTTTATAATACCTCATTGTATATAGCATTCAAACAACATACCCTTATACACTTAATGTATTAATATTTTTGATTCTCTAGATATTTTTTAGAATATACCTTACTTAGCAAAACAACGTTTACCGTTTACCAATTATTACCGGGTCAGCTATATATATATATATATATATATATATATATATATATATATCTTATATATAAAAATCGATCTCTCTTTCAAATGTCTAAGTAAAACTGCTAAACCGATTTGGCCAGTCTTAGTTTTGAAAAATTCGTGCCACTCTAGAGGAAGTCGAAAAGGTGAGATATTATTTCAAAATTGCGCAGAAACTTTACATTTTTAATTTGAACATTTTTATAGAAGCGTACCTTGAATAAAACAATGGACGGTGGCTAATAAGTAAAATGTCAAACGTTTTTGACAGATGATGTTTAATTACTTTTAATAGGATGTTCTGCGTAAATATTATTTAATTATGATTAAATTGTAGTAAGTAGATTTGTTTCTAGTTTTATTTATATACAAAAACGTTAGTAAACAGGCCGCAAGTGTTACTAGAGACTCAAAGTATCAACTTTTTTGAAATGTTACTATGAAAATGCACTTTTTGGCATATTTTCTTAAACACGGTGCTCTGAAAGATCTCATTTGTATAATTATATACTCATTGGTATTTATAAAACATTTTCTAGGTTATATTATTTTTTATTTGTTATTTAAATTCATAACCTAAATTTGGTATCGATCAAATGAACACTTTATCGAATAACATTTTCCCAGTTATAATTTTCCAGAATTTATCAAAGATAGTAATATATGAAGGTTCGGGGTTAAAAAGGTCCAACAACGATGTGTCAAAAATCAGTAAAGTCAAGCATTGTTTAACAAGAATATTTGAAAGTACAGGAAAAAATATGTATAACCAGCTATAAACTTGAGATAAACGGTTCTCTTTGAAAATCCATAACAAAAGTATTTTCTTCCGTTGGTAGTTTTTTAGCATTAGTTAAAAATGTAATTATTTTGTAAAATACCTTTAAAATTATAATAAGGCTTTGAATTTTTTTGCTACCTGCCCGTTTCAAGTTACCCCGCCTATAGGGTCAAAAGGTCTAGATAACAAACTTTTGAAAGACATCAAAAAAGCACATTTCTACAATGATGAAGTAGAATGCAGTTTACTGAACGTAGTCAGATAATTGTTCTTTTGATATGTGTTATTTGTTGTGATATAATTGTTATGGTTCTCACAATATAGTTTATATTTGCTCCAAGTCAAATTGGACCTTTGTGCCTCGCCCTGCTGTACATACATACTTTTTATTTAATTTACTTTAATTCATCGAACGCTACTTAAAACTTTTCAAAAAGCAGCTCAAAGAAGAAATACTTAATTCATTTTCTAATTCTCCTCGCAAAAATTTGAAAATTGTGTATAAGCTCAGTAGTATTATTTACGATTATACACAAAATCCAGAATCCAAAAAGAATCTGAAAAACTTGAAACGTAATCAATAAGTCGAAAGACTAAAAAAGACTTGGATGGATTATACTTATATTATAGAAAGTGTATAAATCTTCCAGTTTTATTGTATTGACAAAATATAGACAAACTAATGAGGTCCATTATTTTTATAATACATCATTGTATTATATTGCATTAAAACAACTCATCTTTATACACTTATAATATTAATATTTTTGATTCTCTAGAAATTCTTTAGAATATACGTTACATAGCAAAACAATGTTTGCCGGGTCAGCTAGTATATATATATATGTATATATATATATATATATATATATATATATATATATGTATATATATATAGATTATATATACAGATTTCGCCCGTATTAAGCCCGGTGCACACGACGTCAGATTTCATGCCAGACAGTTTTTGTTTGTTTGTTACTCCAGCAACGACATGATAAATTATAATTTACGATCTTGCCGACATAATTTGCGATCTTGCCTGCCAGATTTCACGTTTTAGATCTCTATGCACAACGGCGGTATATTCATCATAATTGCTGTGTAAAATCGTTGCCGTAGCAACGTCGGAATTTGATTTCATAACAACTTCTGTCCTCGCAAATTCCTGCCGTATTTTACGAATAGAGCATGTCCTATTCGGCGATAGATGAACGATCTCGTGGCCGATACCTTCAGTGTCCAATAGAAAAGCTGTATTTTGTCACGTAAATATCAATGCGTACTTGATTCATGTACTTCGAATTTGGAAGCGTTTAGTTTTTATTGAAGTAAAACTTCTTTAGGCGCGATATGGGTGTAAAAATTTCTCTAGGCGCGACACGGGTGTAAATCCGTACAAATGCAACGAAAACGCCAACGTGAAGTTGAACACTACGACGCAGGTAGGCGCTGATGTCGCGCTAAACCCTATATGAACTTGCATTAATTGAATCACGTTTTTTTACAAAAGAAGAGGTTACTGTATTATGTCCTCATGGAATAAGACTTTTCTTAGAGAATAAATGTGTCATGGAATATAATAAATTTATACTGAATCTCGTTGAAGACAAAATAATATCTACTGCCACGGATATTTATGTAGGTTGCCATGCGACAGATCAACAATCATACATTCGTCAGCAGTTTCACAAAAATCGGTTATTGATACCGGGGGTTTGCCGAATGAAATATTTTTAGTTCTGAATAAATTTTACATAATAACAACTAATATTGATGTAAGTGATGGCTTAGCTAATGGTTGTGTAGGAAAATTAGTGTACATAGAACGTGGCGATAATGATGAACTTCTACGTTTATGGTTTGAATTTCCTGGTAAGATAGGTAACAAAATTAGGAAGAAAGCTGCACATCATATTCAAACTCTTAATATCAGTAGGACAGCTGTGCCGATTCTCAGGAGATCTTATTATTATTGATGTTATGTGATTATTAATAGATGATTTTTAAAATTCAAATATGATGTTTTTTTTATTTTTATCTTAATTGCCTACTCATACAATATTAAAAGTTTTACTTCAATCGCGTGTGATCCTTACGCGCACTCTTTTTTTATTTTGTAAATAGCTATTGTGTATATATAGCGGCGTGTATAAATGATTAGTTTAGGAAACGCAGTTCAGTAATTTTAAAATATTCAAATTTCCGAAAAAATTCAAATATGCATTTTTTTTCAAATTTTCGTAATTTTATCTGAATTATCAAATAATTTCAAAATTTCCAAAAATTTAAAAAAAACTAGTTGGGTGTATGGCATCGTGCCTTAAGGCAAATTGCTGGAACTTCCCGTACCGTAACGAAAGGTTCGAGAAATATTGAATGTTTTCAAATAAATTCTTATAAATATTGATAGACAGACAGACAAAAAGTATTTATTACAATAGCTGATCATACATATGCATTGTTATTTACACATATTTTTCTACCCTTGGGTATTTTATATTACATTATTGATCTTAATATATTCAGTGAATATTGTGAATATAGCGAGATGTGATACTAATTAAGTGGCAAATAAATATTGTAACATTGTCTAGTATTTATAAAAATTATATTAACTGAATTGCAAAGTTAAAATTATTTGTTCAAAGTATATTTGAACTTAAGTCAGAATAAAAATAAAATCATAAATATTTTCAATATACAAAAAACAATTTTTTTTGAAAAAAATTTTTTTGACAAAAAAATTATTTTGAAACAATTTTTTTTTCAAAATCAATTATTTTGTTAAAACGAGCAGAAAATTCTTTGAACCATTAAAATCGGACGCTTAGTTCTCTCAAAAACTGCCATTTTTTGCACATTTAGCTCTGGATCTTCGAAATGGCTGGGCCTGCTTTTGCCAAAAACTAATGACCACTTCTCCCAAAGATTACAAATTGAATGTTTTTTAGAACATTCAAATCCGATACTCCGTTCTCTCAAAAACTCGATTTCTATTTTCTGCACTCTTTGCTCTTTATTCCGTAACTGCTGGACCTGCCTTTGTCAAGAACTAATCAGCATATCCCCCTATCAATAGGAATCGATGTTTTTTAACCATTCAAATCGGTTGATCCGTGCGCCCGAAAACGTGAACGAAAGAATGCGGACACCAAACACACACATGCACACACACATCCATTTTTTCTGAGGTATGCCGAAATGTTCAGAAACCTTCAAAACGTCGAGATATGCAAAAATTTTTAATTTTGATTTTTAGACGATTGCAATAACTTACCCTACGGGAAGTTAAAAATCAAATCGTTTTATTTCAAAAATTTCGAAATTTGCAAAAGTACTCAAAATTGAAGAAAAAAATGCGAACCTTTTTAATATTTATATATCAGTATTAATTATCTGATAAAAGTACTGATTTTCAACATTAATACTTGTTATATTAAACTGAAGCATTTTATTATTTTTTAATTATCATTATTTCACTTAATCCTAATTAGATGCGCTACATATATGTTTTTGTTTACAATTTTAACAATTCTCTGTGTGTACACTTATAAGCATTGGTGTATTTTAGACCTATAAAATATGAATTGAAAAAAATCACAGTATATAATTATAATAATCTATTTTAAAATGCACGAAATTACTTAATTAATTATAAAATAAGTGAAAATCTGGCGCAAAATTCTTGCTCGCTAGAAATCCTGTTAGGACAGAAATCCTGTTACAAGGAATGGCGTCGTATGCACCTGGCTTTAGTCTTGAAAAATTCTTGCTAATCAGTAGGTTGTCGGAAAGGTGAGATATTATTTCAAAATCGCGTAGATACTTTACATTTTCATATTGAAAATTTTTGTAGAAGCGTAATTTGAATAAAACAATGAACGGTGGCTAATACGTCAAACGTCAAACATTTTTGACAGATGATGTTCAATTTAGTTCAATAGGATGTTTTACGTGAATATTATTTAATTATGATCAAATTGTAGTAAGTAGTAAGTAGTTTTGTTTGTAGTTTTCTTTATACACAAAAATGTTATTAAACGGGCCGCAAGTGTTACTATAAACTCAAAATATCAACTTTCAAATAAATAATTATTAAATTTTATTATTTTTGGTTTTAAATTTTCCGCTAATAATTTGAAAACATTATGAGCGCTGGGTTGTCGAGTAAGATATAGCGACCTGGCAACTCACATCGCACCTCAACATTAAAGACAGTTATACATTATCTTTGGCTCATCATGTTGAACTGTGCGAGGACTAAAGTGCAAGCTGCAGAATTCGGATCTCTTCAGGATTCTCTTGTGTTTGCTGCCGAACCGACAACATCATAAATTATAATATTTTTCCATTTCATTTTCAATATTCAAATATCATATACCTTTTATGAATAATAAAAACTATCACACAATAAAATATTTTCAATATATCACCCTATTTTGTATAAGTGGTGATCCCGACAAAAAAATCACGCCAAAATTGAGATGAAAGTGAAACTGATGTTCATTAATTTTCAAGTCACACGAGTTCAATTAATCACTCACTCTTCTGGAAAATGAGTCGATTTGCGCCAAATGAGTACCATCCTACTTTATGCATTGGACCTTCTTTTACTTCAAACTATTTTTTGCATTTCTCTCTTCAAATCGAGCAGTTCTAGTCACCTTCGTTGTGTTGAATGTACGTATTCCAAATCGTTCAATCCGAGCATTGTTTCGTCTTACAGCAAATGAATGAATTTCTGGCCCAATTTGCATTACCACAAGAATCATCATTTTTAAAATCGGTAAGAAACCTTCATTGAATATGCAAACAGCAATAAATGTTGCTTTTCAATTACCCGAGATCGGGAATGAATATGTTTTGGCGCGAAAATCCAAATCATCGAGTTTAGAGATTCCTTATTATTCTGAGTTTCTGAACCCATACATCTGTCGATCATTCATTAATAATTCATCTGTGGATAAACTGTCTTAAACTGGTCTAATGACTTTCCAGTGCCTTTTGTCCGAGTAGACCCTGCAAAACCAGTTTGGAGACCGAGTCAGTAGAATACCTATATCTCCGAAAATAATTCAAATTTTCAAAAACCTTCTCGAACCTATATTCTTAGATAGTTAAACTTTGAAAATATAAAATAAAAAAATCGATTTTTTTGAATTTCTACACCAGAATACCCCCTTATATTTGAAGTATACAACTTTGTATATTTCTGAAAATTTTGAAATTTGCTTGAACCGTATAAGTAAAAATTAATAAGCTTCGCACAGAACCCAGCAAAATTGTAACAAAGTACTAACTCATGTTTAAACATTATATCAAATATCTGATAATTTGATGTACATATGTCTAACGATCATTTTTGACTGCTAAATAGCATTTTTTTTACTTTTGTTTCTGTATCTCCTAAACTGCTAGACCTGCCTCTCCAAAAAAATTTCATTTAGTCAATACAAGTAACATGTTGTTTGAATCATTACAATCGGGTACTTCGTTCTCTCAAAAATTGACTTTTTGGCAATTTTGCCTCGTATCTTCAAAACGGCTATGTCTGTTTCTACCAAAAACTAATCCGCACGTCTTCTCATCTGTAGGAATCGAATGTTTTTTGAATCATTTAAATCGGTTGATTTGTGTGCCCGAAATCGTGGACAAAATTTTTGTATTAAATAAATACACACATAAATATATACATGCATTCATTTTTTCTAAGGTATGCCAAAATGTTCAGACCTTCAAAACGTGAAGATATGTAAAAAAAAATATTTTCGATATTTTTGCGATTACTATAACTTGTCTTTCGGAAAGTTAATAAAAAAATTTAGAAGAAAATTCAAAATGGCAGCCCAAGGTTCAAGAAAAACCTTTTACCGGAGGGAGTGATCTGTAGCGACCTGGCAACCGACATCGCTCCTCAACTTATTACTATTATCTTTGGCTCATCATGTTGGCAGCAATGCACAAGGATAAAAGTGCAAGCTTCAGAAATCGGATAAATTTCTTCTGTCACACACAAACAACAAACATAAATTACAATACTTTATATTTGCAATAATCAAATATAATGTATATTTTATAAATAATAAATGTGATCACACAGAGCAATACTTTCAACAAATATAGTAAAATACTTTTAATATGGAAACTTTTTTCTTTTATTTATTTTTATTGGCTTCTAAATTACATCTAGCCACTTACAGTCTAATATAAATTATTACTACTCTAAATAATATAAAATGTTTACTTATAAGCTTGTCTACACATAATTCTATAACTTAATTTTACACTCCGATATAAAATTAATTAAAAACTTATATATTTCTATATTAGATAATAATGTCACTAGATTAAATGGTTTCCTTATATTTTTGTTTCTAAAGATCTCATTAATTAAATTTACATTTTGATTGTAGTATATGATGCATTCAAGAATAAGGTGTTGCGAAGTCCCAACTGCTTCTCCACAAACACATATATTTGATGGTGCCAACTTTAATCGATACATGTGGGCAGGAAAGTTACCATGATTAAACCTTAGCCTGGTTAATGCCACTAGAACATGTCTTCTTTCAACCTTATATAGCCGTTGCCATATTTTATTGCTCACAGACGGCTTAATATTTTTGTAGTAGTTACCTATGGTTGAGGATGTATTGTCCCATTCATTTTGCCACAGCTGCATACAATTGTTTTTAGATGCATTTATATAATCAATTAACGTGGCCTCATTAATAACCTCACCATTATCAGCTGCCTGTTTCGCTATTCTATCCGCGATTTCGTTTCCTGCGATGCCGGAATGCGCTCTAACCCATATAATTTTTACATCACCTCCTATATACAGAATTTGCTGGATGTACTTCAAAATTTCATAGTAAATTACCCCTTGCAAAGTTGTGGATTTCGTTAAGTTTTTTAGTTTATGCAACTTTGATTGTCTGTGTAAATGATTGTTTTCGCAAACTGATAATTTATTATTACTTCTAGTGCCTTTTTAATTGCAATCAATTCAGCCCCATACGCTGACACAAAGTTTTGTAATTTGAATCCGAATTCAGCATTATTCGTACTGCAATACACAGCACATCCCGTCTACTGCTACCTCACATACATTTTCGATGAAGCGCGAATTTTCTATTGAAAGATTTTTTAATACAAATTTGTCGCACAAGAATTGTCTACGTAGCTCTAACGGCATTTCTTCACTTTCTACTAGTAACGCATTTGTTGGGGTTGATAGCATAGCACCCATACATATTCTCAGGCACCTGTATTGTAATTTATCCAATTTCTTGCAACTCTTACTGTTATTCCATACTAAGTAACCGTAGTCAAATATAGGCCTGATTAATGCTTTGTAAAGTTTCAGTGCCGTTATGGGATGGGAACCCCACCACGTACCATTAAGCATTCGTAAGATGTTTATATTTTTTTCTACTCTTTTTTCTATATGCTCTATATGAGATTTAAAACCTAATTTTTGGTCAAATATTATTCCGAGAAATTTATTAGTTTTTTGAACTTTAATTGTATGCCTATTGCTGCTGACTCTTGTCGGAAAATCCATGTCCCTGTGTCTGGTTATAATGCCTATTGAGCTCTTTTCACTCGACAACTCTAGGCCTTTTGATACCAGCCATTTGTCAAAGTTTTCAATGTTTCGAGACATAGTGTCTATTGCATCCTGCAGGCTGGTCTTTTCAATATATATTAAAACATCGTCAGCATATTGAAGAATTTTTGTTCCTTGTTCCCAAATATGTTCAATATCCCGCACATATAATGCATATAAAATCGGGCTTAATATGCCCCCTTGGGGAAGACCTTTATACATTTTTCGTGGACCGATCATTCGATTATTTATTTTGTAGTATACATCTCTTTCAAACACTGTGGATGTTATCGCTCTAACAAATTTCTTCGGTAATCCAATTTTGTATAAGGTGTCATATAATATACCTGGGACTACATTATCGTAGGCTCTTTTGATGTCGCTGAAGAGACATACCATATAATTATTTCTATTTATTGATAACCATAAATCTGTTATGAAGATGGCCAAGTTGTCATTTACACCCATTCCTCTCCTAAATCCGAACTGGCTTTTAGGAAGTAGATCATTTTTCTTTACCCACCATTCCAACCTTCTTTTAATTAATCGATCCTTAAATTTGGCTACACATGAAGCCTAAGATATAGGTCTATATGATCCTATTTCATTCGGATTTTTTTGCGGTTTTTTAATAAATATCATTATATATTCGTTCCAATCTGGGATTAGCTCCGGCTCCAACCAGAATTTATTGATTAAATTGATAAAATTAACTTTTCCAAAAAAGGGAAGTTTTTTTATCATTGAGTAGTGAATTTGATCTCTACCAGGTGCTGTATCACTATTATTCCTGAGAATCGTATTGAGTTCCCATAGAGAAAACGGCTGTAATAAGATTTCACAGTTGCGCTGGGTTGAATGATGACTCCTGTTATCAATATCATATTTAGCTCCTGCTGGCGAATAGAATTCAATGATTTTCTCAGCGACTTTCGGTAGTATATTTTCGTGTGTGGTTGACTCCGCCATATTTTTAAACCTTTTAATCATCCCAAATACTTCTTTACTGGAAGTACTTGGATTTATGCTGGAGACATAAGAGACCCAACTGTCCTTTTTTTTCTTCTTAAAGATTTTTCTAACAGTCAAATTCAAGTTCTGGCATATAACAAAATTTATATATGTTGAACTTTTCCGATATGTTTTTTCGGCGTGCCTCCGGTCTTTTACCAACTGATCACATTCCTCATCCCACCAGACTGGTTTTATTCTTGCACCTTTAGAAATGTTTTGTTTTTTTGGAATACTTTTGTCAGCGGCATTGTTAATGATATTTATAAATCTAGCATAATCAGATTTGTCATTAATCGATTCAAATCCTAACATATCCTGTTCCATAGACATTTCATATTTGCGCCAATCAGCTTTTTTACAATTCCATCCTGATACCGATCTATATGGAACAACACAGTTCTTCAGTCTTAAAATTATTGCATAATGGTCCGATCCAAGCGTGTCATCGGACACCTCCCAATCTATTCTATGAGCTAACTCCGGGGAGCAAACTGATATGTCAACTGCTGTTAAGTTATTTTTGAATCTCAAGGTTGGATTACCATTATTTAAAATAACTAAGTTATTGATATCGATAGCATCTATCAGGTTAGTACCATACTTGTCGATGAAGTTGCAACCCCAAGACATGTGATGCGAATTAAAATCCCCGCATATTATAACTGGTTTGGGTAGATGAGTTAATAATTCATTCCACTGGTGAATATTGATGTAATATTTAGGAATCACATAGATGGAAACTATATTTAAATTCAAGTTATTTAATCGTACACTTAGCCCACAAATTTGACATTTGTTTGGGTCAATGGTTCCTAGTTTGATTTGGATGGTATTATACGGCACGGAACGCTTAATAAATAAAGCCGCACCTCCTTTGCCATCATTTCTGTCTTGCCTTACCGTGCTATATCCCTTGAGTGTATAATGTTTATAATTGTGAAACCACGTTTCTGATATCGCTAGTACAGAAATATCCATTTCAGATACGGTATGTTCAATATAACTTTTGTTCGCAGTGAACGATCTCGCATTCCATTGTAAAATTGTAAAGTCCATAGTTATATTCTTAATAAAAAATAAGTAACTATATATATAAATAAGTAAATAGATTCTTTTTTTTTCTATCACAATTATATTATTTTATCACTAGCTCCCATACTTTTAATACTTATCAATTTACGTAATAATTCAGTCAACAGTTTGTCGAAATGTGGTTCGCACCGATTGTATATGTTTCTTGATTGACTAATAAAAATATTCAAAAACTCTTTTGGTTCTGAGTGCTCGCCTTTATTACCATAATGATCGTCATTATCGGACTCCGATTCAGATTTATTTTTCAATCTTTTCCTTTTATTAATTAAATTTTGATTCTGAGTCCCATTATGACTAGGTATTTGATCAAATTTATACATGGTACTTTCCTCTTTTTTCTTCTTATTAATTGCAGCTGGCATGTAAGATCTTCTGGGTTTCTTGAAAAGGTTTTTGCTATCATTTTCATAGTGAATATCCTCTTCTTCTAAATCTGATAGTACTATAAATCTATTATTAACAGAAGGTAAATTCGAGTCTTTCTTTGCTTTATTTACAGCTGGCAATTCTTTTTCCTTACTTAATATGTTCATATTTGTTTTAGTTTTTCTAGCATATCTATCATTTTCTATAATCGATTTTGCTTCGTAAAAAGAAAAATTTTGCAATGCCATTAATTCCTGAATATTACTATGTTTTTTGAAAACTGGGCAATCCTTACTAGTCGCCATATGATTATTCCTACAAAGACAGCATATAAAATCAGAATTATTTGTGCACGAATTAGTATTGTGTGGACCTGCACATTTTGAGCACCTTTCCTCCCCACGGCATTGGGCGCGAATATGGCCGAAACGAAAGCATTTTAGGCATTGCATAACCTTTTTTACATACGGCCTAACTGGACATTTGACTGAGTGTATCGCTACCTTATCTGGAATTCTGGATCCTCTGAAAGTAATTATAACGCATTGCGATTTAAATCTACGTGTATTAATATTTTTTGGTGTAAAACATTTCACATCTATTATTGTACTATCCGATACGATTTCACTTTTAATATCGTCCTCTGTGAGTTCGATATCTACATCAAAAATAATTCCTTTTCTGATTAATAAATAGTTTGGTATACATGCTATTAAGTTGTTTTTATTGAAAAATTCCCCATCGAGCAACCTATTTGCCACATTACCGTTACAAAACCATTTTTACTTTATTATTTCCGAGCACTAATATGTCTAACAGATCCGATTTCAGATTTGGAAAAGACTTATGAATCATTTTTCCAATTCCAACCGATGTTTTTATTTCTTGATTCGATATAGATATAGTACGGCCCTGTGTCGCAACTTTCATATCGCAGTTGCATGTCGACCTTTTTCTGATTGGTAGATTCGTTAACCGCTGTTGTGTCCATCGAATCCGTAGCATCGTCCACATAATTTTCCCTTGTTATGACCTCATCATTTTTAGCACTGCAACTTGCGTTATTTTCAATTAATTTTGTTTCGTCATTATGTATTGTTATATCACTTTGTTCGTTGCATTTAGTATTTATTTCCCCACTCGTTTCCATCGTATTTAACTTTTCCATAGTCACCTCTTTACTTCTTCTAGTTATTCTACGATCACCAACGCCGTCATTCTTGACGCATATTCTTGACGCATATTAGATTCCATTTTTAAATTCTTTCCAGATTTAATTCTTGATATTCCACTGCTTACTTTTTTACCCTTAGATTTAACATTATTCACTTTTTTGTTTTCACAATCACCTTCACTAATTAACACATAGTTTTCTTTTGACAATTCATAAAATTCTTCAATACTCTCATTATCAGAATAATTAGTTCTCATAGCCTCAGCTACTGTTACACCTATTTCGGCGCAAGACGGTACACTGTTATCGGGCGGGCGACCCGGTGCCTGCCCGTCCTCGTACTCCATAAACAAACGCTATTCCTCACTATTGTATTCGATGTTGCACCTTTCGAAGTCAACTACCGACTGAACTGAATATGGAAACTTATTTTCTACAGATGTTTGATAACAGCTCTAAACAAAATTATCAAATTTGGCATTTTGTCTAACAGAGAAACAGATGTTTAGATTGTAGAGATTTAATTAACCAATTCGCTATTCAGAAAGTTTTTCAAATGTGTCTGTGAAGAAAGTCCTTAGTGAAAAATTTATAATTCTTATTGTTAGAAAAAATATGAATATTTTGTTATTTTATTAAATTTCCATATGAAAACTTATAGTAATCGCAAAAAATTAAAAATGAAACATTTGCTTATCTTTAAATCGTTTCAAAACCTTTTGATCATTTGAGCATACCTTACAAGAAATGGGTGTGTGTGTCTTCGGATATAATTTTTGTCAACAAATTCCGGGAGCACAGTTTGACCGATATGAACAATCCAAAAAACATTTTGTTTGTTTCAATGGGAAAATGTGCTGATTAGTATTTGGCAAAGGCAGGTTCAATCGTTTCGAAGATACGGGACAAAAAGTATCAAAAATAGTTATTTGAGAAAACGGAGTGTCCGATTTGAACAAAAAAAGTAATTAAATTTTTGGGAAACCAGGTCCATCAATTTCGGTAATCTAATAAAAAAACAGAAATCCATTTGGCAAAAATTAAAATGTATAAAAAAAACATTTTTTGAAAGAAGTCAAAATTTTCAAAATTCGATAAAATCTATTTTTTCAGTTTTCAAGAAATTTTAAAACGTTTTGTAATTTTTGGTAGGAAAATATCTAGCAATTTGCCTTAAGGCACGATGTCATGCACCACTAGTTATAATACGTAATAACTTTTCTGCAATTAAATAGTTTATAACTTCCCGTAGGGCAAGTTATAGTAATCGCAAAAAAATCTAAAATGGAATTTTTGTATTTCAATTCAAAGACTAAATATTTCAGTATATAAAAGTATGTACATTGTTTATAACATGGGTTTTTTACCCGTAGGTATTGTATCCTTCATTGGATTTGGTTTTGCAAACAATAATTAATACATAATATATAAATAAATTCATATTTGTGTGACGAAAAAAGAGGAAAGAAAATTTATCCACAAAAAAAATCACATAGCACTATTTATAATAACACGTAATAATACAAAAAAAGAAAAACATAATAAAAATTTATTCACTCTAAGGGAGAAAATTTGTGACGAGCCAATTTTCGTTTACCGCTATGGGTCGATGAGTATATATTTTGGCATGGCGTGATTGCCATACCAAATATCGTCTCTTGTGTATTGGCCGAGGCCCACGATGTTAATATTAGGATGATCCCCACATTTTAGATAAAAATTTCCGGTGAGCTTTTTTATATAGTCGAGTATTGTCGGTACGTCAGTCTGTTTGTGTATATATTTTGAAGAGTAATAATGTCTAGTCAGTGGGTCCCTTATTTTGTTAAGTACTAGTCGTAGTGTCTTATTTTGTAATGTCTGTAGTTTCTGTAAGTTGGTCTTAGTCGTCGCGTTCCATGCTAGAGCGGCGTATGTCAGTATCGGTCTTATTAGTGTCAAGTAAAGTGTCCGTTGTTCTTCACGCTTAGCGGGCTGTTCTGGTTCAAGAGAGGTCTCAGTAGATTTAACATCCCGTAAGCCTGTTCAATTTTTGTATTAATATGTTTTGTGAAGCTGAGTCTATGGTCCAGGGTCACACCAAGATATTTGACATCCTTCGACCACTCAACTTCACAGTCCAATACTTTAATTTTGTCCAAGTCAGTCAGTCTAGTCGTGGCATTTTGGCTCTTTGTAAATAAAATTGCCTCCGTCTTTTGCGGATTGATTCTGATCTGCCATTGGTCAGTATATTCACTCAGCTTGTCTATGTGTGTCTGTATCTTTGTAGTCAGTAGCGTCGGTGATCGTGATGATTTGTATATGGCAGTGTCGTCAGCAAACGTCAGTAACGTTGTGTCGGCGTCAGTGGGTATGTCGTGAATGTAGACGTTAAACAAGGACGGTCCCAGGATCGAGTAAAATTTTTGTATAATTTTACGTTTCAGAGGTTTTTAAACATTTTGGCATACCTTAGAAAAAATGATGTATGTGTGTAAATTTTATAAAAATAAGACATAAACTATTTAAGCAAAATTCCAGGAATGTGGCGGTATTTTTGCTAGTGCCCCAGGGCGCCAAATTTCCAAATTTGACCCTGTATACTCCTGCAGACTTAACTCTTGAAAACTTAGGGAAATTGCGGTATTTTTGAAACTGTTCTTCCAGTAATGTTATTTATGGTTACGGTTTATATGAACAGTTAACCACAATAATATATATATATATATATATATATATATATATATATATATATATATATATATATATATATATACGAGGTGTGTTCAAAAAGTACCCGGAATTACTAATAATTAAATTTCGCGGGTCTGGAGTGTCTGATTGTCAAAATTTTTTTTTATTGTGTTGGTATACATGCCCCTAAAGTATGATGAAATTTTCAGCTATATTCACTGTTTACTTTGTCTGTGGTAGTCGCTAAGGTTCGACGTGTTTTTCTGAGCTCGGCGATTTTTACAATGGAAGAATTGAAAAGTCAAAGAATTTGTATTAAATTTTGCGTAAAAAATGAAATAAAGTGTTGCAAAGTGCAAAAATTCACCAGATATGGCTCCGTGTGACTTTTTCCTATTCCCAAAGTTGAAGAGACCCATGAAAGGACGGCGGTTTTCCTCGATTGAAGAAAATCGCTGAGAGTGCTCAAGGACATATCAAAAAGTGAATATCAAGGGTGCTTCGAAAATTGGAAAAAACGCTGGCATAAGTGTATTATATCTGGGGGGGACTACTTTGAAGGGGACCACATTAATGTAGACGAATAAATAAATATTTTTTTGAAAAAACGAAAATTCCGGGTACTTTTTGAACAGACCTCGTATATATATATATATATATATATATATATATATATATATATATATATATATGGACGGTTGGGCTGCAAAAATATTACAAATATATATATATATATATATATATA